TGAACTGTTGGCTGCAGGTAGCCCTGGCCATGCTGAGAGAGAGAGAAGAACAGTGTGGTGATAACAGCCAAGAGAGTCAGTGATGGTTTAAACTGTCCCTCTTTCACATGGTCATCTGCTTCCTTTCTATTTCTCTCTCGTTCTCTGTCTCTCTTTCTTGCTCGCTGCCCATACCCTCTCTCACTCTCCAAAACTGAAACAGCTTTTTCCATCATCACATTTTTTTTTAATGTCTTTCACCCCGTCTCCATCTCTTTTAAACTTGGCAGAGAGGAGTGAAAAGAGATGGAAGCAGGGATAGATAAAGAAGGATAGCACCTTCAGTGTCATGACTCATGGATGGCATACAGTGGTAGAGAGAAAGAGAAAGAGAGAGAATAAGAAAGAGAGAGAGCAGTAGTATTAGGGTTACTTAATTGTAGACAGGGCTGTCTTTCCTGCTTCACTAGGCTGAGACATATTGCCCTAACTGTCAGTGACGCCTCAATGGTTGCCTTCAGATAAACAACTCTGTGTGTGTTTTAGTGTGTCCAAGTGTGTGTTATTCTGCTGTTGTATCACTGATTATGTTAAGGCTTTGAAATGCCTCAGTAAATTCAGAAATTAGCATGTTATTAAATAAAATATGAAATATATTGTACTGTATAATATACTTTAATTTTGATCATTAAACACATTTATAATCTAATTCCTTTTATCTACAAGTAACTCTTCTAGACTGTGTGCTGAATGGATAACAGTCTGATTATAAATAAAAGTCCTTTTGGTGTTTTGAAAAATGTATTCCTCTTTTTATGGCGGTTCCTTTTGAGGTGAATGTGTATGGGAAAAGGGTTTTTGGGGCCACTGTGCATCATGTACTGCGTGTGGCCACAATACCAAATATGTTTTTTCAGAGCCCAGCACTGTTCCTGGGTGCTTGGTTTAAATATCTATGTCGTCTATATCTTTACGTAATGTGACATATTTGTATGAGAAACAGCATACAGTATGTGGATGGAGTTTAGTGATGAAAGAGGTTTACATTAAACAGAGCGATACAAAGCTGTTAAGAGATACAAGGCTGTACAGGACAGTTGGCCTCGGCCCACACCTCCCTCAACTGCGTTAGTATGTCAGGAGGTGGCGGATGACACACAAATAAATAACACCGACCTCAACCACATTCTTTGGAAATTGAATCAAAGTTTTTGCCAATTGGCATCCAAACACAGACAGACACATACACCTCCTCCTATGATATCTTTCCGCAAGCGACTACAACCCAAAAGCTAATGGCCAAGTGTGGCTTTATACAGTATATGATGGAGTTCTCCAGTCACCTTAATCTGATTGGATCCATCTGTATATAAACCCTGAGTACAAGATCATCAAAACTATTAGAAGAGAATAAAGAGAGATGTTTTACTTATATTTGGCGTATAACAAGAGATAAGACAACACTTAACACAGGGACCCACTGTGTAAATGTGCTTAGTGTTTGTGAGGGTGAACCATCGGCCTTTTTAATTTACAGTAAGAATAAATGTATGCTGATGATTAACACCGAGCTTCCCTGTTTAATATCAAAAAGAAAACAATACACAGAGTCAGCTAGGGAGGACAGGGAAGGCAGAAGACAATTTTAATCCCTGAAAAATAGGTATCCACGGGTTTTTCAGGATTTACGAGTGAGCAGGGCTCAATATCAGGCCCATCTCCCTCCCTCCCTCTCCTCGTTCTTTTTCTCTCTGAAAGACACGCTCTGCCATCTCCACTTTGCTGTCTTTTAGAGTATGCTCCATCATCCGTCTCACTCACTATCTGGCCCTTTCTTTCCCACCTTCCCCTATCTTTTTCTCACAATGCATTTAAATGGGGTATTTAGAGATTCCGGCGTTTCTCGTCTCTTCACACATACTCTGAGGTAACCCCAATCCCTCAACAACCCTTTGAAAAAGGGAAAATGCCCCAACTGCTCCAAAAGTAGGTCCCCAGTCGATGCATAATAAACACACAAGATATAGGGAGACATTTATGCTTAAACTTGTCCTTGGCTCATTTCTAATATTTGTACTTGCTGCAGCATTTCGGTAAACTTTTTCAAACAGTGACCAGATGCTTGTCATGATGCTGCACATGTTGTTGCCCCTGAGACGACAGCAATAGAAATGTGCCATCTGCTAATTAAATGACTAAACGGGATGTGGTCACATTAATCTGATGTACTTGCAGTTGTTTACAAAGGGTTCCATTCAAATCTGTCACAGTAGGATGGATGACAGATTCATCATGGTCAGCATGTATTTACAGTGTGTGATAATATAATCCACACAAAATAGTTGTTTAAAAAGTGCTGACCTTCAATCAGATTTACAGTGTTGATGCTCCTTCATTTGTGACAGAGAGCTGTTTTGATGTTCGGTGGTATATTTGTTTCTTGGCTGTGTACTTGACATGACATGACAGTTTACTGGTAGTCTGCTGTTGCATTTCCTGAACAACGTGCACTTAATCTTGCAATTGCCTGTGTAAATGTTTTTAACTGTTTAACTGTCCCCTAAACAGGGTTTAAGGGATTAACCATAACATTTGGCCAATTTATAAGTTTTTCTGGAGGACATTCTGTATATTAGATGAGAATAAATATGCAGAGCACTTCAACCATGCCTCTTGTATACTCTTGTACCTACAAAATGGTTGTAGTCTAACAGTATGTGCCAAGTAGAAAGAAATGTTTCACGCAATCTCATACTGGTGTCTATTCAACATGGTAACAGATGAGTTGTATGAACATTCTTGCTTCTTGTTGACAAATTTGCAGATAATATTGCATGTAGGGAAACACAATTAAAGTCATTGCCACTTTGTGCATTATGGTTCAATTATTTCCCGATCATTAAAATCCCCCAATAGAATCAATATTTAATTTTGTAGGCAGTGAGGGGTGGTTACAGGCGATATATTTTACTGAGAAATGTTCTGTATATGATGTCGGTAGTTAATTAAAGAACATTTTAAATTGAAATGAATTAGGAAATCAAGAAAGTGATGACAAAAGTTTACAATGAAATAAAAAGTCACAAATATCTCAAACCCCTTCGAGAAGAGACACTTTATCCTGATGGAGTTTGCGCATCGCTGTGACTCTGGCAGTTGTGCTGTCGGGGGCAATGGCTCCTGGTTGGGTCTCCGTAGACAAAGTGGTCCCAGGGGAGGGGCCGGACCAAGTGCTATTCACAGATTCCACATGAACCGGTCAAGAAGGAGCTACAGCACCTCACCCAGGACACTGAGCTTGTCGGCGAGCATCTGGTGGCCAGGCCTTGACCGGGCTGTCACTACATGAAGTGGCAATGTTGTCCGGTGCATTTGTCAGCCTTGCAGCAGGCAAAGGCAGGGATCTAGGTCTTCTGACCATTTCTTGAGTCATTGTTGAATAGAGGAGACAAAGCAAATGAAGGACACGAACGTTGGTCTTCATGTTCAGGAAACTTGAAAACAGGCCTCCTCTGCCAACTATTCTTCCAGCAAATGTCCAATCACTGTCTAATAAGCTGGATGAATTCAGTAGAGACTTGGCTCAACACCTCAATGGCAGACTTGGCATTTGATCTCGAGGGTTTGAGTTTCAGGACAACTATACATGAACCATGGGCTCCATTGGAAAATGCAATGATGACGTCGAACCAGGGATTACTGTACGGACATTCCACAACAAGAAGCCCTGGGTTAACTGGGTTAAGTCTGTGCCAAATTTAAAGCACGCTTACAACTTGATTGGTGATTTGGATGAGTTCAACAAATACAAGACAAAGTTGAGTCTTACTGCCACAACCTCCAACACCAGAAACATGAGGTCTGCACTAAAAACCATCACAGACCACAAGAGGGACACCAGCAGTGCTGAGATAATGTCTGCACCTCTCCTAAATGAACTGAACAACGTCTATGCACACTTTGAGATCACCTCCCTGGATGAGAAAGCACAAAAGGCCCAGGACACCTGCCCACAAGCACTATTCAGGGCAGATGTGTGAAAATCTTTCAAAAGGATTTACCCACCTGGCATCCCTGGCCTCAAGGTGTGAGTGTGACTCAACAGGCAGATGTCTTCACAGACATTTTCAACATGTCACTTCTCCAGTCTGTAGTCCCAAATGTTTGAAGAAGACCACCATTGTCCCCTCTGCCTGAACAACTACCACTCAGTTACACCATCACTAAGTGCTTTAAGGGTTTAGTCAAAACCTTCACTTCCTCCGCCCCCGGCTCACTGGACCCAATGCAATTTGCATACAGGCCAAATAGATCAACGGCCATCCCCCTATTCCTTGGACCAGAGGAACACATAATGTTGTTCATACACTAGAGTGCAGCATTCAACCCAATGTGCCCTCCGAGCTTGTTATCAAGCTCAGAGATCTGGGGCTTAACACAGCTCTCTGTGAGCGGATCCAAAGCTTCCTGTTGTGCAGACTCTAGGACGTGTGGATAGTCACCAACACATCCACCTTGATTCTCAGCAATGGAGCCTCTCGGGGCTGCGTGCTCAGACCCCTCTTGTACTCCCAGTTCATGCACAACTGTGTGGCTACACACAGCTCCAACACCGTCATCAAGTTGGCTGAAGACACAACCATTAAAGGCCGTAAGACTTCTGAACTCTGGAGCTCTGAGATCAGTCATCACTATTGTCACTGGGGCGGTTTTCGGTCGGGATAAGAGGTTTCTCAATGGATTTATTTTTTAAATGTTCTAGTTTTTGGTACAAGTAATAAACAATTACATCTATTAAGACATAAACATTCATTTTAAATATTTTGACTGCCAGATTTTTTGCTTATTCGATCACAAATAAATTAGCAGATGTTCCGAAACCTTAGCAAAGGCTATAGGACTTACTTTGCTTTTCAGCACCACGGACAGAGCTATGGGCAAACACCAGAGCGACACAGCAAGATAAAAACGTGTAACAGTGTGTGTGTGTGTGTGTGTCTGTGTGCATGTAGACGTCTTACCTAGCCGTGGGTCATACTGCCTCATCTGAACTTCTTCCACATAGTCTGCTGGGAACCAGCCTGTCCTCCCTTTGACCGTGCCTTCCCAGAAACCTCCTTCTCCTATACTCAGAACTGAAAAGAGAAAATATCAAAAGAGTCTGTCAAATATTGTCATAAAACATGTCATCATTGGGAGGTTGTGGAGCCTGTAGAGCCTGAGAAAAGAGACAAAACAGGACAAAGGGCAATACAGCAGAGAGAGGTATTTAGATGTCCATGTCATGATGGAATGAGTGAGAGGGAAGGAGGTGCAAGTGAGAGGAAAAGAGAAATAGTTTTGTTTTACAAATACACATAAAGCCGATATAAGACAGGAGAAATTGTAATGTGAAAATATTGGTCTGCAACTAATGTACCGTACTAAGGTGCTTGGGCAACACAGGCTTTTTTCTCTTTCATGCCGATAAACGATTTTTTAATTTGAAAAAAATACAGAGAAAGACAGACTGAGTAAATGAAGTAGTGGAGAGGAAAGACAAAAGGGAGATAAAGAAAGAAAGAAAAAAAGAAGAAGGAGAGATGTTGAAGGAGAGCAAGAGGGCGGGGAGGAGAAAGAAAGAGCTTCCTTCTAAGTTCCGCTGTGGTAATTAGAGATGAATATATAGTTGATATTGATCTTCCCTGCAGGACTGAGCCAGCACGCTCATTTCTACAACACCCATCCATTATCCCAGGAAGCTGACCGACACGCACGCACGCACGCACGTGCACACGCACGCACGCACGCGCACACACACACACACACACACACACACACACACACACACACACACACGCCTCAGAGATCACCAGCTGGAACTGAAGCTTTGCCTGAGCGAGCCCTTCTTCCAAGCTGGTTGCTAGGTTACGGCAGTATGATGTTGCAGCCGGCAGACATCCTGCTAAATGATGTAGTCTACTTCCTCCAAACTATATCCTACTCTGGCATGGGGACATGTCACGGTGATGTAACCTGGGGCACTATGAGAAGCAGCCAGTTGGACTTCATCTTCAGTGGCATGATAGTAAAAGTTCAAATATCAGCCATTCACAAGATTCCCCGCTGTATCTTTTCACAAACACATTGTTGTCTCGAGGTGTTACAGCTGCACTGCCCACATCTTGCTTCCCTTAAAATTCAAGTCCATTCACGTCCTGTTGAAAGACACACGTAGAAACAGGCTAGAGCAGGAGAGTGTATTTTACACTATTAATGTCAATGCATGATTTCTTCAGATTTTCTCAAAGCTGACTACTGTCTCCTCCCCTGGACTATTACATAATCAATGCCTACATGTTGGGCCTAACAGGAGATTTACTTGTTTCCATCATATATTGAATTGTAAAAAAATCTTGCAGTGACTATCCCAAGTACATACGCTTTCCTACAAGTCATAATCCAACACTGCTGCTGAAAGAAGAACAATTTCATTGCTGAAAATACAAGTTACTGTATTTACATGCTCATTATTATTTTATTTTTTATCTTGTAATGCACTTGAGAAGCACACAAAGTTAACCCCCCCCCCCATAGCTCGCCTCTGCCAGCCTAAAAATACATTTGCTAAGAGAGAAATGGCGTGCGAGAGGAGAAAGGCTGTTTATCAATTCCCGCTGCAAAAACATGACACTCAGCACACAGAGGATACGTGGACTGATCCCCCTCTCTGATCACAGCTTAACACAACTTTACCCTGACTGTCTCCTGGGAACGGACTCCCTCCGTCTCTTTATTTCCATGTTCAAACCCTTTATTCTCTCTCTCTCTGCCTGTCTCTAGTCTACTCTACTTTCACTCCCAGTCCCCTTCACTGTGTTTCTGAGTGATTTCTTAGTCATCGTCTCCATTCCCCTCTTTGTCTCTGTCAGGGTGTCTGTCTATACTGTAATGGTGTCCCTGCAGTAGACAGGTGCCGGCTGTACTCTTCTCCATTGACAGAAATGATAGAAAAGGTGAGACCTCCGATTGAACTTCTCGGCTGCCTTCGCTGACTTCCCTCAGTCCCTTATAGCGCTGGTATTAATCCATTTCTGGTCCCTGACACTGACACCAACACCTCACAATACGGACAGAATCAACCAACAGTATCTGAGATTGCAAGCAAAAGTCACCGTTTTACAGATCTAACATATCTGTGTACACCTTCAAAACCGTAGGCATACATACATATTATATATACATATATATATATATGTAAACAACTCCTTCATCAACTTTAAACGCACCACGGACACTCTAAATGCAGAAATCAAGCCAATTATTCGATTGTTAGTGAAGTCAAGAAAAGGTCAGGGAAACATGCACACATACGAGCCAAGAAGTATTTTAAAACACAGATAACATGATTGATAATGCCCTCAGCATGTGATAGCAGAGAGTCTGCATAAACACATAAAAAAATAAACACTGTAAACCAAATTTCATTGCCACTCTAAACACTATTAATTCCTTAATAAAAACAGCTAGGGTTATCATTTTGGTTAATTTAAAGTGTAAGTCTAAGAGACACTTTGAATTTAAAGTAAATTTATATTTATATCACAAACAGACACAACTACATGCATGTATGTATATGTCCGAGTAGCTGAAAGGCATACATGTATAGTATGCGTACTCCCTCAGATTTACTTAGAGAGTTCCCTGCTGTCTCAATAGCCTCTCACTTCCTACCTCTCAGTTTTGGTGCTTGCCAACAACGTGTTGGCATGAAAACTGTCCCTGTGAATCAGATGTGGGCTCATAGGAGCCAAGTGGCAGGAAGGAACTCAAACAGTGCATGTCTGTGCAGAAGGATTTACAATATGTGTCCCGTGTTGATGTTTTGGTCCAACCACACCGCTTTGGGACCACTGCCATGTGGAGAGCTACAGTTGCAGATAGTAGTGGGAAAAAGCCTGACAGCAGTAAAATCAAATCCAACTACAAGCTGTGCAGGTTTGCAGGAACAAAGCAGTCACTCCTGAGCTTTGTAGATGCAACTGCATTTGAAAAAGCAAAGGCTGTGGTTTCTAATTGGCACTAGTCTGTCTGACTTCAGACAACTACATTTGCTCATTCAGGAATGTTGTTAAGTCACACTTTGTGATAAAGTATTTCTAGCGGAGTAGTGGAAAGATCAGTGGTGACTGCGTGAAAAAGGTCCAATAAACAAAAGAGACATTTGACTATTAGCTCTTCATATGCTTTTACAAATTGGATGGGCGTGACAAACTTTTGCCGATAGTGATATTTTTCATTTTAGCATCTGCCATGTGATAAAGTCCCCATTCAAACGCTGTCAGCATAGTTTTCTGTGGCTCAAAACTATGATTGGGGTAGCAATCTGACAGGGCAGGTTGACACAAAAGACTTCGTGGTGGACGATGGAAGGTATTTCATGTGCCAAATGAGATTTTGATGTGTGCTTTCTATAACCAAAGAAATAACCATGCTTTAGAAATGTGATGCAAAGGGCAGGCAAGGGCAGATCGAATTGTGTTTGTAAGTACCCGATACTCATTCTGAATAGTCATTTTCCTTTTTGACTTAATTTTAGAGTTTTTAGGGAAATAGGACAACCGCTCAAGAACTGGATCCCTGGGTCAAAAGTAAGAATGCAGTTATTTATCTCATGGAAGTCTTCTGTACTAATAATTACACGTAACTAAAGTATGAGGGACAGCTGACCTCAAGCAGGAAAATAAATACACTTTAATACAGTAGGCTGGACTCAGCTTCATGCAAACACTGGAGACTGTCTTTAAGAAGAGAGAAACAATGAATGTCATTTGTTCCATTGAATATGGAGGTCTATTGGGGCTTAACTAAACAACAGTTCAGTACAGAGGGCAATCAACACCTCAGCTGGACATTAGACGATCAGAGGTCGGGCCTATCTCGACTGTATCACTTGAAGCGGTGGCCTGCCACACCGATTCATAATCACCTCCACAGGCAAACTAGTGGGTGCAAACACACAGCATATGGTGACATGCATTCATACACACAGTCACACATGAACACACAAAATGACAAATAAACTGCTCAGGTACACATTTTCTGTATACTGTGCAGGAAGACTTTGTATCTTCTGTAACATTTGCCCAACATGCTGTTTTGAACGGCCACATAGAAATCCACAGCAAGTTCTCATTGTGAATTGAAAAACACCTCACTGGGCCATTAATGGAAAGTTGTGAGTTTATATAGAAATAAAATACAAACGAAGCATGAGATGTGAGCAGAAAGGGGAGTACTGTAGCATAATAGAGAGCCCAAGCGAATGAAACAAAGGGAAAGAATGTGACAGAAAGAGGCTTACATTCAGCAACGACAAAGAGAGATGAGAGCTAGCTAAAGACAGACACAGCTGACAAAGGGAAAGAGCTATGTTTCAACAGGCGCCCAGTTATTCATGAGTGTCCAAGAAGTCTGCCGTCTCGCGAAAAGTCTGGTACAGTATTTTTCTCTGTGTGTGTGTGTGTGTGTTCATGTAACTTTTGAGTTTTGCCCTTGGTTAAGTCAGTCAAGGCTCCTGGTTTAAAAATAGCCTCAGTGAGGATGCAGAGCTATTTATACTCCTCTCACACCCTGCCGGAAAGCCTCAATGCACCCTTGCTCGAGTGTGTGTGTGAGTGTGTGTGTGTATGTCTGTGTGTACGCGATGACGAATTGAGCTCATTTTAATTCTTGCTTTGCTACGCTCTATTGCTTTGAGCTGAGTCATTCATTTTCTTTCTCCTTCTTACTTCTTTGTTCCTCTTTATTCCAAGCGACGGACACGCAGACACACACATGTGCTCATATGGAGTGAAGGCAGCAGCCATGAATAAATACATGATTGACAGCTGGTGAGGAAAGGAGCAGTCTTTTCAAAACACATAAACAAACCTATTTTTCACAGGTAACAGTGGATGCGTCAAACGCCTGCAGAAACAGACGAGAGGATGCAGCTATGCTTAGAGAGGCTGATGGCTTTCTGCCACTGATGCACTCAAACTGATTCAGACAGGGATGCCATGGAAGACTTGCCAAAGCCAAAATACAACTTGATTTCCATAAAATGCTCCAATAGGCTCTCTACACGTTGGATTTGCTGTATGAAACACAGGGA